CTCTCTCTCTCTCTCTCTCTCTCTCTCTCTCTCTCTCTCTCTGGTTATGCAACACTGCAGTTCTGCAAAGCTGCTGATGTGACAGATCCATGTACCTACACACACACACACACACACACACACACACACACACAAACATGCCCAGTGATCAACCAGATCACGATGTACACTGTGATTGCTGCCCTTGCTTCTGTCGTCATTATGGATTGCTGTCCTCAAATTAAATTCTAACGTAATGTCGCTGAATCTGAGCCACAGTATTTTCCAAAGACATCTACTGGTATGCTACTTATAGTCTATGTTTACACTGCTATTTTTCATCATTTTTTATTCAGTCTCTGTGTTATTGGATGTCAGGCAGGAGCTAAAGAGAAGGGACAGAGGAAAAGGGAGACAGAGAGAGGTAGCTGGGTTACACCATGTGACCCCACCAGCTGTTGCTTTATGCTGGTGGAAGAAAAAGAGAGGGAGGTGAGAGGCAGAAACGGGAGAACGAGGGAGGGAGGGGTCAGGAGCTTTCCAGCACACAATGTGACTGGTGACAATCCCTTCTGCAGAGAGAGAGAGAGAGAGAGAGGGAGAGAGAGAGGGGGAGAGAGAGAGGGAGAGAGAGAGGAAGAGAGAAAGGGGGAGAGAGAGAGGGAGAGAGAGAGGAAGAGAGAGAGAGGGAGAGAGGGAGAGAGAGAGAGGGAGGCAGCAGGGGATGAACACACACATGCACAGGCAGGGATGTGAAGAGTGAGCTCACACACACACACCTCTCCTGATTCAGCGGAACAGATTTATTCGTCACCTCTCTCGGGCAGCCTCACGCAGCGAGCCGGCTGCAAAGCACAAGACAATCCCCAACGCAGCAGCACCTGCCCCGTCCATCAACCCATCTGTCTGTCTGTCTGCGCCGATTAACGCCTCTGTTACAACTCTTGACTGCATGTTTACCGGCGTCTACTGCGTTTGAGAGGCGGATGGGGGGGGCACGACATCCAGAGAGACGAGCAGCGAATGTAAATAATGGGGAAACTAAAAAGGGACGACTGCATTGAGGATGGGCCAATGGATAAACTGCGGGACAAATAGATAACCCCCCATACAAAACTCTGTTTCTGCATCTCTACCTTGGGACCCTCCTACAGGGAGATGTCATTCATTATGGGATAGATGGACAGGTCTGCCCGTTGCCATGGATACCAGCACGCGAAAATTCACAGTGCGGAGATGGTTTTCTATCTATCTGAAGAACAAGGCGGCGAGGAACAAGAACAACACTGGCTTCTGTCAACTAGAGGTTAGTTAAGCTGTTTAGACCCCCCCCCGCACCCTGGAGCAGGACAAACTCCTGTCAACTAGAGATTTGTACATGTGTGTGAATCTGCGCATGCTGGAAGGGGGATTGCATCACAGTTGCACCATGTGTGTTTTTTTTGTGTGTATATTAAGAGGCCATGACAGCAGCCTTCTCATTTCAACAGTCGATAAGGATGAGTGTGAAAAGTCTGTGCGCGTATGGGAATGGGTGTGGGAAGAATGTGTGTTATTTGGTTTGTTGTGGCGCCGTTAAGCAGATTGCAGCATTGTTGCAGCTGCTCCTTTGCCCGTCTGACAATAATTTAGAAAACAGAGAGACAGACAGACACTGTGTTTTGACTCAGAGAGAGAGAGAGAGAGAGAGAGAGAGAGAGAGAGAGAGAGAGAGACAGACGAGCTACATGGAAATACAGTCGGAGAGACAAAATTGCTAACAGACAAACAAGCAGCCCGGCAGGCAGGTTGATAGACAAATGGATAGAGACAGATTGATTCAGTGGACGGCCACGGCACTGGAGGTCTATTTATAGCCCAAACAAACCAGCGGGGAAGAGAGAGGGAGGCAGTCTGCTGTTTGCAGCACATCTACCTGTTTGTTTGAGATATAAATAGATCCTCTGGTCTTTGTTGTTGTGACTCAGTGCTGACGAATCATCTTGACATCTATCTACCTGTTTGTCTGACTGTCCACATCTGAAACATGATGCTTTGATGGTCCATGTGAAGAAGATCTCTTTCACTTCCTTCCCCTTCATGGGAGGGTCAGAGTTCAGGGTCAGCTATAGATCAGCATCCCAGAAGTTGGTACTGAGGCCTTGATCCTGTTTCCTTCTGGTTGATGCATATCACTCCTGTTACCCCGTTTAAAGAATAAAACAGCAATTAATCACATGGAGCAAATCACTACTGCTCTACACTGTATAGGTTGAAACTATCCAGCATGTTGCACCTCAAGCCAATCAGTGAAATCAGTGCAATCACAGCAGGTGACTGCTGTTGAAAAACTACATTACAATAGCTTTGCTCTGTTTGTGTGAAAAGAGCTTCATTGTCTTTAAACCCCAAATGTTGTGTAATCACTAATTTGACACAGTTTCACGAACATTTGGGCCTCAGATTAGAAGTAGAGCATGTTGTGCATTTGCACAAATTTAGGTAAAAATTGAGTCAAAGCAAGTGTAAAATATTGTGATAAAAAAATCGGCTGATATCACTGACTGCGTTTTGCTACTTTCACTTGTTTCCAATATTAATATTTTCATACTTAATGACATTTTTAGAATCGTATGTAATTTTCTTGATACAAGTACATGAATCTAGACATTCTGAACTAATTCCAATGAGTTGGTGATACAAGGGAAACTGCAATCTAGGGCTGGGTGATAATTAAATATGATTATTATTTCCTTTCAATAGAATCATACTGAGATGAAATCATATATTGAGATATCGTGACACACAATTACGTTGTCTAAATTGATAATAAGCACATACCAACTCATATTTCTCAGATGATTTGATTATATTGCAGTAAAGTTTATAATTAAATAAGAAAATACTTAGTACTTTTCATTCGTCAAGTATTTAATCCACACAAGAGTATACAGAACCATGTGGTTATCTCATATAAACTATAAATGTATTAAATTATCAGAAAACATGCATCATTGAAATATATACAGAAGACTTTGGCCATACTGCCCAGCCCTTATGCCTGGAACAACTGGTAGTTCTCTGGTAGTTAATAAAACATGAACCTCTAATGCTGAATTTGAGACTTAATAACTTGCTTTGCTGTGTTACTCACAGACAATACAACTCTCTCTCCACAGAGATAACCTCAAAGAACTTGTCTTAGCAGAAACAGATATAAGTGACAGTTTGATTATTTTTAGCTTTATATGGACTTTGAGACTCAGATATTACTCTAATTCCAAATAAAAGCACTGTATATTGTACTGATTTAATCCTAAAGGCCTCAAAGTGGTCTGACGGTGGCAGGGAACAATTCTACAAAAGAAAATAAATAAGAACGTCATTTGTATTCGTAGAACTAAAATGCTGGTGTGCATTTGATTGTCTTAGAAATAAATGGAGACCTCAGGAAAGGCAGGAGCACAATAATTAAATTCAAATAGATCTTATATGTGTGAGTTTACAATCATTACCTTTCTAGACTATCTAACTCCTGTTAGCATTTCATACTTGATGGAAGTAGGGTGTAAAGCTCCACTTCTCAATGATAACTTGACGGTGCTACAGTATATCGTTACACTGACCAATCTAAACCGTGCCTCGGGTTGACAGTTTATCATTTGCTTCACTGAGCAGACTGAATAGGCTGAAAAAGGCAGCTTACACTATGCATCACTGCCACTGACCTCAGCCCATACCTTTCCAGCAATAACATAATAGCTCATAAATAACCATCTGTCTCTGTGTGTTTAGAAGATGTGTTTTAGTTTATGTTTGGAGGCTGTCTTATCGATATGGATGAAGCATAAACAACATTTCAACTGTCATTCATCTCGTCTTGTTCATGTTTCACTTTTGAGAGAGATGTTACCCTATCTCAGGTTTTCTGTCACTGTCTTTGTAAATATGTAACAGACTAATAGTGACATCTGTCTCGCATTTCCCCAGGATGATAGTATACTGAAGGAGATTGACATCAGCCATCATGTTAAGGAGGGTTGTGAGAAAGCAGACCCCTCTCAGTTCCAGCTGCTCAAAGTGCTGGGACAGGGCTCCTATGGAAAGGTACAGGATATGCATGTTCACCATAACCACACTGAGACCCTGGATATCTTAAACAATTACTCATGTTAAGGAAATTCAGTGACGGGATATCAGTGTTGCTGCAGCGAGCTAAAAGATAACCCATGACACCAGGCCAAATGCTTTCTGTACCCGCCCGTCTGTCTGTCCCAGCAGGTCACTACTTAAGTTAGGTGCTGCAGTGGGGCAGCACTTCTTCAGCTGTACTACATGTTTATAGTATTATACCATTTTGGATTATCTGTAAGACTGCAACTGTTTCACTAGAATATCTATACTTCAATGTGCTTAAGTATGTGCATTTGTGTGATTGACGAACTTCTCATTCAAAAGCTTTGGGCATTAAAGCTCCACTCCTCTGGGAAGTCTTTCCAGGAGAGTCTGGAAGCAGAATGGAAGGATTGTCTCCCATTCAGACACTGATGTTGGACGATAAGGACTTGCAGTCAGAGTTGTGATTAATCCCAAAGAATTGGATGGGGTTGATCAGGGCTTTGTTTGGCACAATTAAGTTATTCCACACCCAAACAAGGCTCATAAAAAAACATTGTTTTGTGCATGAGGATATTGTCATCTAAAACAAGGAAGAATGTTCCCCAAACTGCAGCCACAAAATCAAAAGGGCCCTATATTGTCTCAAATATCATGCTGTTGCAGTATAATTTCCCTCAACTGGAACCAATGTGGCTAGCCCAAACTGTGAAAAACATCCTTTACAAAGCCACCATCTTCGATTATTTCTAGATTTGCAACATGACAACTCATGCCACAGCTCACTAAGTTTATTTAAATCAGTAAAGGCCAAGTGAGTTGTGAGTGTTACAAGACAATAGGTCTGCACATGGTGCAGAAATGAAACCACAGCAGGTGGAGGCAGGGCACATGAGGTCAGGTTGCAAAGCCTCAGATTGGCCTGGATAGCAGGTTAGCATGGCTAGCTTGTATACAGTCGGCTTAAACTAAATGTTTTATGCAAAAGGATGGTAGCTCACTTACACGTACCTCTGCTCGGTCGCCTGCACATTGTGTGTAACGGGGTGGTAGTTGCTGCCATGAATATTAGCGTCTTAAAAAGCAGCGAAGGTGTGTGTGTGTGTGTGTGTGTGTGTGTGTGGCGCATGCGCTGTAGTGCATTACACGTATTACAACGGTTTCTTGTTAGCAGCACCTGGATGACGTAAATAACATACTCCCTACATGTGTCATTTTTTTAAACTAATGCTGCTGCTGATGATGCTGCTGCTGCTGATGATGATGATTATGTTGTTGATGATGATGATGGTGATGATTCCAGGTGTTTCTGGTGAGAAAGATCAGAGGAGTGGACAGAGGGCAGCTGTATGCCATGAAGGTCTTGAAGAAAGCCACACTAAAAGGTAAAAATATACTGTATATATATATATATATATATATATATATATATATTGGAAGGCAAAGAAACAAAAGTTCGTAGAGAATGCATTTGTTGTCATGTTTATGCCTCTTTTCATTTTCAAGTAGATATTGTTGACCTATTTGTGTATCTGTAGCATTTAAGAATGTAATAAATTACTGAATCTTGACTTTTGACACATTTTGCTGAAATAACAACTTTGTTCTTTATTGGGCACAGACTAATAATTTGTTTAAAATTAATATTGGTTATTCCCACAAATGATAAGGGAGATTTGATTGTCAGAGTTCTCAGACTTTTGCCCTACTTTTAAAAGGATTTTGGGTAAAAGAGGTTAGTTTGTACTTTTGATGAAGATAAACTGAATGGGATTATTGTAAACTAGGATGTACTGTAAAAACAGGTTGAGATGCCATGTGCTGATTTAGTGTCTTTATACAAGCTTTAATCCTCTGAATCTCAAAAAGTTATGGTCTCATCCTGTCAAGGAAACAGATGCTGCAATAACACTTTCACTGTGATTATAGACTAAAGCACCATGGGATCAGCTGCACCACGGGATGGTTTAATTCAATTTACATGTTTTAATTAACTTAATGCAGTTTCATAAAACATTCAGATGGTATTAGAAGCGTGGCGTGATTTATGGAGATAGGTCTGGCCTATAGCAGGACTATCTGCACGCAGATAAATAATATTATGTTAATAAGGAAATTCTTCTTGCCCCGCTATTTCCTTCACAGTTCGTGACCGCGTACGGTCTAAGATGGAAAGAGACATTCTGGCAGAAGTGAATCATCCATTTATAGTTAAACTGCACTATGGTAAGTCTGACTGTCTGATGGTCTTCATTTAAGTGCTGATTTGAATATCTGTGTCTCTGAAATCACAGGGTATTCTCATATATAACACGATTGTATTTTAACAAGAGATAACAAGATAACGTTCCGATACCCAGCTGTTATAGTTGAAATACTTTTTTGTAGAGAAGTTCCTGGTTGAATTTTGTTATTTCATTTCATATACATCTTTTCTACTTCAAATGCATCCTCAAAGTAACAGAATACGATACAGCCCCAATGCAGCAATATAGCCCGATATTACTTGTGTTTATCTTGTGTGTGTGTGTGTGTGTGTGTGTGTGTGTGTGTGTGTGTGTGTGCATAGCCTTCCAGACAGAAGGAAAACTCTATCTGATCCTAGACTTCCTCAGAGGAGGAGACCTTTTCTCTCGACTGTCAAAGGAGGTGGGTTTCCTCCTCATAGACTCCCTGGTTCTTTCCCCAACGGCACTAAGAATTACAAGCCTTTACTTTTCAAGGTCTCTTATAGGCTGGATCATTTTTTTAAAGAAACATTTTATTTAGTTTATATATATATTTTTTACTAGCATCTACATATCTTTATTTGCTCTAGGTAATGTTTACTGAGGAGGACGTGAAGTTCTACCTTGCAGAGTTGGCCCTGGCCTTAGACCATCTACACAGTCTGGGGATCATCTACAGGGACCTGAAACCTGAAAAGTACTATCTCATAAAGGCTCCCTTTTTTGCATACATTTATTTTTTTCCAAAATAATTTTAAAGCAGCTTTTAATGTTCATTTTCTCCGAACAGCATTCTTCTGGATGAAGAAGGAAACATTAAGATAACTGGTCAGTGCCTCCAGCTACAAACAATTTCTGTCATTCTATTCATCTTCATTCATGCCAGTCTTAACTTGTTCCCCTCTCTCTTTGTCTCTCTGTGCTTCAGACTTTGGATTGAGTAAGGAGGCCATTGACCATGATAAAAGAGCATATTCATTCTGTGGAACAATCGAGTACATGGCTCCAGAGGTTGTGAACAGGAGAGGGCACACGCAAAGTGCTGACTGGTGGTCATTTGGGGTACTTATGGTAAGAATTGTTTCGACATTTATTTATTATTTTAATGTGCACTTGTGATCGGAGTACAAAGAAATTTTTTCTACTGACTTGCAAGTTTTTTCTGATCGTGCTATCAAAAACAGCAGGCACGCATTTATTATATCATATGAGCCAAATACTCAGCTCTTACATAATGTGCCAGTTTACTGGTTTCTGAATTTGGCTTTCTTCTGGCAAAAAAAGCTCCTTAATTACCGTTTCTGGCAGATTAGGTCCCATTACTTTGTGTAATCGTGCATCTGTTGGATTTTGCTTGTTTTGTTTGCTTGGTGGCTTATTTTTTTTTTTACTAATACTGAAAAGGAGGTTAACATTCACTGACAGCTGACAAACAGAACATTTGAAAATACTCTCTCTGGACAATACAGATTTTTGTAATCCAGAGACAGTAGTGGGCGGAGCCTATTTGATAAATTAAAACAACCTTTGTGGAAAAATCCATAGTTATGATTACATTTCATTCAAAACACTCTGATATATTTGGGACAAGTAAATAAAATGAACAATGGTGCTGGAAAGCAGCAGGGGCATGTCAGCAGCAGTTGCAGACTTGCTGTTCATGAGAGAAGTATTGGTCTGGTCGGGGGGTTTGCTTGTGCATACAACTTTTCTTTAAGTAGTTTTGGTATGACAAGTCACTGAGATTAATTTAGGTGTTTTGACAATTATTATCATCTGTTTTCCAGTTTGAGATGTTGACAGGATCATTACCATTCCAAGGAAAAGATCGTAAGGAAACAATGGCGTTCATTCTTAAGTAAGACATATTTTAACTGTTATCATTTTATTATTAAAGCTTCTTTTATTTATTACCAAATCCTAATGCTCTAGGTCATTTTTAAGTTGCTAACCTCAGTGTTCATGGTTTCGTTGGTGTCTTGTTCTTAGTTTCTACATTCTACCGTAACAGTGGTTATCTTGATAAACAGTATGTAGAGGATGTTACTGCATTTTGATCATACTTACGTTCTCCCCTCAAAGCTTCTAATCAGCTTTCTCTTTCCCTTTTCAAATGGATTTGTTCAAAACAGTCTACTATTTCAAATAATAATTCATTTTTCAGTTATGGTTCATTCAAGATAAGTTGCTTAAATGCACATGCTATTATCAATCTCACAATATCCCACTATACCTGAATAAACTGAATTATAAAGTTGTTGCTTGGAAAACAAAGTTAAACTGATCCAATACAAACAATGTTGATGCATCACAGCACTACACCTTTACATCTTTACATCTGTTTCTCGTCTTTACTGTACAGGGCTAAGCTGGGAATGCCACAGTTCCTCAGTCCTGAAGTGCAGAGTTTATTAAGAGCGCTCTTCAAGAGGAACCCTGTAAATCGACTAGGTACTGTACACATTGATTCAACTTGGAACAGGCAAACAGCAACCCAAAATACAGTTGTCATTTTGAACACTTTGCAAAATTGTTGAGTTGTTTAACACCAAATATAATATTCTACAAATCAGGTCTGTTTAGAGCAACGGTAACGTTGTGAGTTATCACAATGAATTGTCTAAATTGAAGCTGCAGTCTTCTTATGTTATGCTAATAATGTTAAACATTACCATTTATGTCACAAATGTCAAAACAGCTAAACCATCATGGAGGTCCATTGAAAATGTGCTGTGTACATAAAAGACTTGACTGTATTCATGCTCTTTGAATGATTTAGTTTTTAATTAATGCATGTTTAGATGTGAACAATGGCATCATTTATCAACTTGTCTGAATCTCTGTGATTGATATAGGTGCAGGACCAGATGGAGTGGAGGAAATAAAAAGACATCGCTTCTTTGCATCCATAGACTGGAATGTAAGAACAATTCATGAAGAATGTTCTACGGTCTGCATGATTTTTAAGCTGTCCAGTACTGTTGTTTTTGCGAGGAAGGACACTATATACTCACAGGCATTATACACATGCTGTGTACATTAGACTGAAAAAAGTAATCACAGACTCAGCTGGAAGTGAAACAAAGTTGGCTTGTTAACACTGCTAGAGACAGTGAGAACAGATCGAGGCCTGCGTCGTATGCAAGTATGTCAGCCACGACTGTCGTAAAGGTCTGTAAATGAATAACCTGTTCGACTACCAACAACTACACCTGGTTGTTCACACTTACTGTTTCATGTAAGGATGTTGCAGGAACAAAAGTTATTTCAGTATCATGGGACAAACGTACTGGTTTCTTGGAGGTTCCACTTCTGAGATGCACTACTCAGATTAGCGGCCTGTGTTGAATTAAAAAACATATATTATAAGAACAACATATCTAAATCACATTGTGGTAACTGTAGTTTTTGTATCCTTACATAAAAACTCTGTAGCTGTTCACCCACTTCCTCTAAACTTACCCACAATCATGAGTCATGGTTTTCTATTGCTTTGTAGCAAAATCTCTAACTTCCCTGCCTGCCTGTCTTGCCCAACTTCATTGTAATTAATCCTCTTATCTGTAACAGCCTTTCTCACAGAAAGTTGGCTCATGCGCACATCTTCTGGCTGCAGACATTACCTGTGCTATCACAATGTAACCTTGAAATTCGTTCAACTCACTCTTGCCCAAAGCTTCTATTTACAGTACCTGGGTTGTATGTGAGTAACATTCATCCTGCAGAAGCCTTCTGCTGCATAGCATAACAAGAGCAGTTAAAAGCATCTCAACAAGCTCACATTGGTGAAAAGCAATGCACTTCTTTAACTACTGTATACAGGCTACTAACAGACAACACACACAAGAAGTGTGAGTGTGAACAGGGCGTTCCTTAATATGTGAACCTTGGTCACATTGTTGCACCCATTGCTCTCTATCAGAGATGTTCCGAAGGCTTGTGACTCTTGTTTATCCGCTGTTGCGAGTAGTGATGCTCTCAGTTCTAACAAAATCCACTATTATCAGCTTTACATGCCCACTAATCTCTGCCCTCACCACCGGCTCTCACTGTGCTCCTCGCTACATAACTACCTTCTGGCCTCTGCCAAGCACCACATTTTCCCATTTACAAATGGTGTTGCTGGCTTGATGTGACAAGCTATCAATAAGAGGCTTACGTTCTCCTACACACTATGCTAATTAGAATCCTGTGCAGTAAGAGGCATAATGCTTTACTCCCATCAGAATCTTGGTTGGCTATTTCTCTGTGATCTTTTATTCATGTTCTCATCTTTGATAAAACCGACTAAATCTGCAACCTCGCCTTCACAGAGAATGTCAATTACAAATCAAATAGCAAGTAGGAGTGTGCATCAGTCCTTTGTTAGGTATTTAATGTGATATATTACTCAAAGAGACCCTGCCAGACTGTTGTTGACACTGCAATAGTGACATCTGCAGGCCATAGTAAATAATACACTTTATGTAATAAAGATACAGTATGTGCATACTCTGTGTACTCATATATAATGGGCAGTTTTCACTTGGCATCACATCACATTACATATGATATGGGTGTTCTTTTTAATCACTTTGACTTTTCATTATCCACGAGTTGAGGCCAATCTTTATTTTCCAGTCCAATATTCTTCATTTTATTTTCTTCTTATTACATTTGCTCTATTCTTTGTGCTCCACATTACATTTAAAAACCAGGCTGTGCCATTGCTGACTCAGTACATGTTTACATTAACACTTGCATTACTATAGAAATAGTTTGCTTCGAGATGTGAGACTTGAGTGGGACATGAAATTTAATGTAACTGCTGTGGAACCCAACCTATATTTTATTGTTCATACTGGATCCAGTGACTATTAAACACAGCAATATAATGGGGAAACACACACACACCAACTGCAACATCACTTTTATAATAATTCTTATTGTGAATTTGCACTAGATCATGTGTTCTCTTGTTTTCTGTAGAAGTTGTACAGGAAGGAAATGAGGCCTCCATTCAAACCCACAGTTGGAAGACCTGAAGACACTTTCCATTTTGACCCTGAGTTCACCTCCAGAACACCCACTGGTAACTGAGACCCACAAAAACATAAACATACATATTTATACACCAATCAAATAAATACGTACATAGGTCTATTTGTCAGGTTTATTCATTTCAATTATATATACAATTTCCATCCATTTGAGTCGAGTAATTCTATCATCAATCAAAACATACCATTAATGTAATTAAAGCAAATAAAACTGAGATGAATAGACTATAAAAACGTATCTAACTATAGCTCATATAATTAACAACATTTACTTTAAATGTATTTTTCAATACGTTATATGTATTTCAAAATGTTGATGTTCCTAATTGGATGTAAATTTGTAATACGAACATCAAGTTCAAGTATTGTGAGCACATGTTTGTATCGGTCCGTCTTTTCCTATATCCAGATTCTCCCGGCATCCCTCCCAGCGCAAACACACACCAGCTGTTTCGTGGCTTCAGCTTTGTTGCAACGAGTCAAAGTCAGGAGCCTAGCATCGCTACGGTAGCACCTTCTCGTCAGGAAGTGAACAACATTAATCCCATAGCAAAGGTACGTGTCTTTAAGAAAGCAGTTCATGCCCTATCTACACATCAACTTTAAATGAGACACTTGCACATTGATTGGATAACTAATTAACTATGTAAATAAATCACCGAGTTGATCATTGCTTTATGAGTTAACTAGCAGACAGGACGATGAAGCAATTTAATTTATGCTGACCCTCATCAATCCTGCTCAACTATTACTACAGCAACTGACTGCTGAAGCAATGCAATTCTTCTCACACCTAATATATGACTGACACATTTGACTATGACAGACATATGAAATATAATAGAAGCGTGTGTGTCTGTCTGTCTGATTGTCTGTGTTCCCTGCAGCACCTCCAAGGGGACGTGGCCTTCAGTGATGTTTATGAGCTCAAGGAGGAAATTGGACAGACAGCGACTTCTGTCTGCAGAAGTTGTCTGCACAGAGTTACTGCTGTGGAGTATTCAGTGAAGGTAGTGGTCACTAAACGTTTACCAGAACTTATTAAGATATACAACATTGTGATATCAACATTATATTATATTCAAAGTACTTTTGAACATACATAAAAAGCATTTCATAGCACAGTTTGACCTAAAACACAGGTCTGAATCCAACCAACAGAATGTAATTACGTATAAGGTGAGCTAGTGGTGCATTGTGGGAAAGGTTGGGATTATTAAATGAAACCACCCAAACAACATGCTTTGTGCATCCTGGTTATTTAGAGGTTTGCAATTGTATGTCTCTCTAAACATATCCTGTCGTTTCTGTTTTTGTGTCAGATCATTGACAGAGGCAGAAAAGATCCATCAGAGGAGATTGAGATCCTGTTAAGATACGGACAGCATCCACATATTATTACCCTGAAGGATGTAAGTGGAACACCCACTCCTGACACATTGTTTTCTTCAACAGCCATGTTAGAAGAGCTTCTTCAGCATCTTTACAACAGGATATAATAGGGGTGGGGGAAAAAGTCAATACAGCATAGAATTAGCAATATTTTGTATGGCAATATTGTATCGATACCTGGAAGCCTAGTATCGATCTTTTATTATAGAAACTATGAATATTGCAATTACAAATTAAACTTTATGATAATAATTGCTTTTTCTGCTTGACTGACAAACCCATTTTGCTGCAATAAAAATGACTGAAGTGAGATGAACCGAATCAAACTGTATCTTATTTGATAAAACAGATGTTGACAAACTGTATAATTTGCAGTTGGAAAAAGGTAATAATACACCATATATGTTATCGCACCATATCGCAAAATGTTTAAAATTACAATAAGATTGCATCGTGACACAAGTGTTGTGATAATATTGTATTGTGTGGCTTCTGGTGATTTTAGCTCCCCGTGTATGTGCTTTTGACATCAGGTGTATGACGACGGCCAATGTGTGCACCTGGTACAAGATTTACTAAGAGGAGACGAGCTGCTGGACAGAGCTCTGACAGTGCCTAACTTTACAGAGAGAGATGCGTCAGACATCATCTGCACACTGACCAAGACTGTGGAATATTTACACTCGCAGGGGGTAAAAATATTTGTTGAAACCTTTGACACAAGACTTCGTTACATCACTATGCTGTACTGTCTTCACCTACTTGCAACATTCTGTATGGTTTTCAGCAACCATATGTTAACTTTGTTGCAGATCATGATTGCGTTTTTGTCTGCGTGTGTGTATTTCTCGTTTTTTTCAGGTCGTGCATCGAGACCTGAAGCCTAGTAACATTCGCTATTCTGATGACAGTGGACTCCCACAATCCATCAGGATATGTGATTTTGGTTTTGCCAAGCAGCTTAGGGCTGAGAATGGCTTGTTGATGACTCCCTGTTACACAGCTACGTTCATGGCTCCTGAGGTGCAGTATATCAGTAATCATAATAGGAAGTCTCTAATATCTCACCAACACTTATGAAACAAATGAAACCACAAAACAGCTATCAAAAATACATTTAAAAAGAATCATTCACAGAAAAAAAAAGAACATAATAAATTGTTAAGATGTGTTTGTATGTGTGCAGGTTCTGAAGAAGCAGGGTTATGATGCAGCCTGCGACATCTGGAGCCTGGGGATCCTGCTCTACACCATGATAGCTGGGTCAGTTTAAAGTTTAAAACACATGCAATGTTTTCTGTTAACGCTCCTCCTGCTGCTGTATACAACATTTGTTCTAAATAAACTACCCTAGAAAGTGTCTTTAGGTCTTTTAACATCTCTACATTGTGCTTTTCTCTAGATTAAATAATGTCAGAGGGTTGTTTCACACCAGTTGTAGAGTTCACCGAGCTTTTGAATTGATTTTTATTCTTATTGGCCCAGCTTCAGTCCATTTGCCAGCAGCTCTGATGACACAGCAGAGGAAATTCTGGCTCAAATCGGCAGTGGAAAATTCATTATCACAGGAGGGAACTGGGGCCTGGTATCAGACGCTGCCAAGGTTCATTATTTTCCCTTTTTTTGGGGGAATTAAATACACATAAAATAGTTGTGTTGCTGTCTAAATAAACTAATATCACCTATGCATATGTTTAACAGGAAATTGTGATGAAGATGCTCCACGTGGACCCTCACCAGCGCCTGACTGCCCCACAGGTACTATTAGTCCCTCCCTAATATGACTTGGTATGCTTTATTAGGCTATTTTAGATGGCTGCCATTAAGTCCCATTGATATTGTTTTTTGTCCTCATAGTTTTTACTGTAGTATTAATTATTTATAATCTGTTGATAGGAAACATTATCAAATATATTACATATTACAGTATACTGCTTTCTGTATTTTTTGTATATCAATCTTAAAGGAACAGTGTGCATGATTTAAGGTGGGTTATTAGCAGAAATATAATATAATATTCATAACTATCTTTTTATTAGTCCACAATCACCTGAAGGTAAGAATTGTTGTGTTTTTGTTAGCTTAGAATGAGCCGGTTATATCTACATAGGCAGCAGGTCCTCTTCACTAAGTCTGCCTTGTTGCACCACCATGTTTCTACACTAGCCCAGAATGGACAAACCAAACACTGGCTCTAGAGAGGGCCTTTTGCGTTTTTTTAGGTTACCTAAAGGCCACCGTTGTTCTCAGACACGCTTTGAAAGGGAGGGGTGATCAGAGGGGTATTCAGTTGGATGCAATCTGCAATGTCTCTATGCCACCAAGTTCTTCACACTGCTCATTTAAGAGCAGTTTTTGAAAAATGCATCAGGAAATCATTTTTAATGCCCATTAGGTTCTTCGTCATCCCTGGATTGTAGACAGAGACCAGCTCTCTGACAGAGCTCTCACCAGACAAGATGCTCTTACTGTTAAGGTCGGTACATATGTGCATGTGTGTGTATACAGTAAATATAATCAGAATATCAGATCCAATACTTGTTATTATGTTTCTGTGTGTAGCTCTGTTACATCCTCATTGTAAGATAATATATTCAAGATTTACTTGTCAAATGCTTTTCACTGAGTGTGTAACACGTCTGAAAGTTTGCACATGTCATTATTTCTGTTGCCCTCAATAACTGAGCTCTTAAAGCAGCTGTTCTTATTACATGAGATCATGTCGGCATCAGCAAAATGTACAACAATGCAAACCACTGTAATGGGTTGTGTCTTTCCAGCAGGTGGTGCTGTCTGCCACTTATTTAGTTGCACGACAGATTAGACCAGTATTAATATGTAATGACGTCGTCTCCTTTTATTCCACCAGGGGGCACTGTCTGCCACCTACTCAGCTCTGAAGCGCTGTGCTCCTGCTCCAGTATTGGAGCCTGTTCAGTCCTCCTGCCTCGCTCAACGGCGAGGGATGAATAAACCGGGGAGTCCCGAAGAGAATTCAGACCCCAAAGAAAAGGAAAAGCCTCAACAATCTGAATGAAAGTTAAAATACATTTAAAATAGACCCACATCATTAAAGAAGACATACTCTTTTTGAAAAGCATAAACCGTGTCACAAAGTGCTCCTAGGCCTATAAAAACTAAATGTAGCAGATTTTAGAAATCTTGTTGCAAAGGGAACTAAGCCTAATTCCCTATAACAATAAAGCAGTCCACAAGCACAGGTATCAGGACTAGCTTCAGTTCACCTAATTTAAAGTGTACATTTTAAACCTTTTCAATTGTGATGTAAAATTCATCATGCACACCTGTGACTCGTATTTGAAGAAGTTGACTATTATTGCTCTAAAATCATAATCATCATCTAAATCCTGAGCACAGAGGGTTTCATTCAATCAAGCAGAAGCTTTGTCCAATCCCTCAGTTGTCCTGTGGGTATTATAAGCTCTGTTTGACGGGTGCCCTTACTTTCAATTGGTTGAAAAAACTATCTAAAGTAAAATCTAGATTTTATTTTCTCATTCAAATTTTGAGCCTGGCTCTCAGACAACCTTTCTCATAGTTTGGTGATGGCTATGAAAATGTAAAACTAAATTAAAAAAAACACATGTATGTTTACTTCTTCAGAGTACAATTATAAATGTACTGCAATATCCACAGACAAACCAAAGCCACCAAAGCTCCAACCGCTGAAAGCGGGAAAAATGAGTCCGGTCACCAACTTCAGAAAAAGCAGTATTCAGTGCCACAAACAACATGCCATGTAGTCAATTTACTTTAGGTTTCATATTTAGCACATACATGTATGTCCCCAGGAGTAAACGTCATACATTAATACAGTCTTCCACAGTCATTGCTCTAACATATATCCAACTATAGATATGTTGAATCATCATCATCTAACAATAGATATAGGTTAGAGTAACATGCATTTGAATGAGGTACTCTCACTCTGATTATAACATGTTTCCTACAATCGATCCTCTGAATTCTACAGAGTTATGCATGTTAAAAATGTAAATATCCTACCAAAGGGAATTATTAAGTTACCAATGCCATTGAAGTCTTATTGTCAATAATATGTTTAATAATTATACTGTATGTATTGTTGTCTTCCATGAATACAGCCTTTGACTATTGTAAAATGTATTGTTAAATGTATCACTACTGCACTTCCCAGATCAGATGGAACAGTGAGCTATGAAGGTATTTATGTTGAACGTAGTTTGTTGTGTTTTTCCATAACATATTCAAAATGTTATGTGGCTTAAGAGACGTCATAGAGGCAGGAAAACCGGGGGAGCATCATATCGCTCTTTGGTAAATCTCACACTCATAGCAAAACTCTGCAGGCTATACTTTGAAATATTAACTCAGCAATCACTGTGATAAATCATCTTTCAGTGTGTGCTTGAGTGTGTCAAGTATAGGTGCCAGTACACCTCTGTTTGTGTCTGTAAGCTAAAATGTTTGAGAACCACTGTGTCAGAGGAATGTATATAGGTCTACTGTCTATTGCTGCTGCCCTGATTGTATCTAATAAGTTGTACAATCGCAAATACGAGGTAAGACAGAACAGGGTGTTTTGCAGACACGAGTAGCACACTTTGTGTTGTACAATTTACCAGTAGGAATGTAGATTATGATGCTCCACAGCAATACACATACTTACTGGTCAGACGTAGGACGAAACATATTGTCACGTGTAACCAATAAGCACTGCAGCAGAGAAACGGTAATTCTGTACATATTATGTTTGCTGATCCTAAGGCTGTATGTGTTGTGACACATTGCACAACTGTGAGTGGTGTAGCTGGGACTGATGCAACTGTGAGGATGCAGATAAGGTTGTAGATATTGTGTTGTTCAAGGTGAAGCTGTAAATATTGTTTACTAATTTAGATTGTACATATAGTGTGGTACAACTATTGGCAAGCAGTACGACTGTATATATTGTGTTTGCAGATAGAGATTGTACATATTATTTTGTCCATTGCTATCCATTGCTCAGAGTGTACATACTGTCTATACCTGGCCAATCACTGAACTTATTGGCTAGAATGCCAAAGTTTTACAAATAAAGGAAAACAACAGAAACTGCACTGAAATTTGCAGATTTGTTTTAAATAATATTTATGTTCCTGCATGTGTAAATGCAATTGAGCCATCATTCATTTGTATTATTTACCTGTGCGTTTCCTTCTCTGACATGTCAAAATGCTGTCTGTGAAAAAGATCTATAAGTACAGTGCAATATTTAACATTACATCTCCAGACCTCCCAAAAGAGTAACACTATTGCACAATTTTTACTTCACTTTCCTTAAATCTCAAACTAAGAACTGAGCTTACAATATGTATTCAAGGCTGTTTGAGCGTAGTAAACGATTAATTGTGAGGGGTGATATGAGGCGGGACAAGTTTGTAGCCTACTGGTAGGCAGCCAGGAACAGAAAGTAGACAAAGACATGTAGCTCTAAAATGCATTTACGCTTAACAAATAAATCGATCTTACAAATTCTGCAAGTACATTAACAGTCTGTCAAATTGTATGCATTAAAATGCACGCAAGAGCATGACTAATAATTATGAAAGGTGGAGGAAATGTAAATTATCTTTCCATAGAGTGAAATGTAATATATTTTTAGGTGAGGAAAGTTCAGTTTCTGTAACTTTCTCTCTATCCATGATAATGTGGCAGCAAGCCACTAGATGGCAACCAATCATAACCTGTGCTCTCACTCTCTCTCTCTCCCTTTCTATTTCTTACCAGAAGTTGTCCCTTTGGAGCCTTAATCCCCCCAAAAAAGAAGTGAGGAACCCTTTAATTTATATCAACCACCAGGCTCACTCTCTGTTCCATAAAAGCTTTTAGCAGGCGCTGAGCTGATGTGTCAGGTGGGTGTGGCAGGCTCATCAGCTCTGACATTTAAGTGCAGTAGTGCTCAGAGCAAAAGGGATTGGAGGATATGAGTAGATACAGATGACAAGCCCCCCTGCGAAGATGATTGCAGTGGAGTGACAAGAGGAGACCAAACAACAGATAGAGGAAGGTGTCGGGAGGGGAGAGATGAAAGGCAAAAGAAAGAAAAAGAGCTTTGAGAAACAATAACTCAACCCAACAATTACAGCCTTGTCAGAATTTATATTAGCTTTCATAATGGAAGAATTTCTAAATGTATTTCCTCATGTTATTAAAACTCAGTATAATGTCATTTATATTCTGTTGCAAGTTAATACTACACTCGTGTAGCTTCAACAAATCATTTAATCTTACTTTGACATACAGTCAGATAGTTCTAGTGTCAGTTTTTGGTCTTTAGTCTTCCTTAAAAATGAGCACATGCAACTGAAATGAATTAAATAATGAGTAGGAAACCCGGTTTGCACCTGGCTGTCCTTGAGTTATGTTCATGTTCTTTAATACCCAACTAACAAAGTGTCCTTGAGCAAGTAACTGAATAATTCTGGAAGGGCTGTTTTGTAGCATGACTTGACCTCTGATCTTTCTGGAGAGCATGTGACTGTGTGGCTCAATATTAAGAAGACACCACTGGAGCTTATTACGAAGATGGCATGCATCACTTTATATTTTGCAGGATTGATGATAAATGGAAATATAGCAATATCTATCACTTGACTACTGCTGAAAATAATATTACTGCACTATCATCAGTACCGTTTTTCTTGAAACACCGGAATATCACTTTGCATTTCAAATAACCATGTAGCCATGTAGTGGAATGCCGTTTTCAATTAAATAAATTCTCTGAAGGAAATAAAAGCTTCTCAATATTCCACATTTAGTTATGGGTGACACAGAGTGCTGATGTATCTCCAGTCATACTGGCTACAACATAAGTAAAGATAAAGATGGATGCATGAAGAGGAGATGATATTAAATTGGCTTTTAAATGTGAAATGCAAACCCCTTCCTTGTGTATCTGTATCTGTTCCTCTTCTGCTTGACATTCCTCTTCTGACACAAAACAGAGTTCTGAAGACAAGCAACATACACACTCTGACAAGGACAGAGATCCCACCACCTATGGCACTGGGTTTGCACCCACAAACACACACACACACACACACAGACACAGACCCACGGACACCCTGTGGCACTACAGCTAGACCTGCCACTCGGACGTTCACCGAATCAGACGGACAAATCTCTAACAGACGGCTGCTGACAAAGAGATTATCACCGTGACAGGAGAAGTGTGCGCAGCTGTGGGTGGTGGAGTTTACAGCGGAGAGATGGGGGTGGGGAGCGAACTCTTTGTGCTTTCACACATTTGCCTCTTCTCTCTCGCCATGCCAGTTTTTTGATTCAAAGTCAAACTTACTTCAGGGTTTATAAGATATACGTACTAATTGTCCATCAAATGTATGTGTGCGTAAGAAACACAGACGTACAGCAAACATTGATATAGAGTTATTTAGCTGTGCATCAGGCTAAAGGCTGATTTACTCGACAAAACTGTACTTAACATGACTGTGAGGTGATGTAGGTTAAAACAAGGTGATTGGTGGAAACTGGAGAATGTTGTGGGATCAGAATAAGACATTTCAAACATGAAGCAGTTTACTTAAGCTCTGCTACCCACGATCATACCCTCTGTACACTGACACATATAGACACACACCAATTAAGCATTTTCCTGGATCAGACTGATCCATTAATGGAGATTGTGCTGTATGTCAGTCAGACATTAGACTACTCTTATTTAGTAGTCTAATGTTTGTTTCTTGTTGTATTGTTCCTCAGAACAGTAAATCATTCCACACTAATAGTCAGTGAAGAGTATTTCAACCATCTACATAAAACATGCAGAGCTCCTTGTCATGCCCTATACTTAAATTGTGCAGAGAGATGATCAAGGTTCTCTTGCAAGGTATAGCTATGTCAAACATCACAGTCTTCAGCAACATATATCCAACGCACCCTTTACAAATAGGCAGCCTACAGCTGCCAGTCCTCTGCCCACTATGATACATTGCTCATTTGCAAACTCTGTAACATTTCTGCTGTCCACATAGAATTCTAAAGCTAGCTTCACTGCCAGCACACCTTCAGAAAGGCTTTGTAGAGGCCCACAATGAGCCGTTCATTATGGTGCAATGTTTTGTACTAACAGTGTACCAGTGCAGTATGGACACATACATGTAAGTACAAGTGAACAAGATGTGAAGTTTGGAAATATGGTAGTAACAATGTGGGAACTATAAAAAAAAGCGATATACTCTAGGTATTTCTTAATTAAGGGGTACCTTTTCTGACATTATGGGGTACAGTGACAGCACACTTTTTGCATTTAGTTAAAAAAAGAAAGAAAATAAAACAAATACAAAAAAATCAATACGAGTAAATAAAGTAACACATTCACCAATTTGAAAGCATATATTTGGCATTAAGAAACACACTGCAAATACACCCATTTCAAGCAAAAACTAAAATGCTGCAAGTCAACATCAACAAAATGCAGTTTTTTTAGGGACCACTATAAAGTGGTAAATGGCTGTCGCTAGGAGTATGGTTACTATCTTTAGTAATATCAGACTCCATCACAATGTTGAAATTAACATAAACATTACTAGCTCATTGAACAGCATCATTTATGAGGAGTCAACCTCAACAAATTGTACATTACACGTTATGTAAAACATGCAGCATATGGCACATACATGTTGTCAAATTGGTGAATGTGTTTCTCAATTTATGTGTATTTTTCCTAAGTTGTAGTGCAATGAGCTCTCAAAGCAACCGTAGGAGAGCCACAATTACACACTTATCCACGTTTATGGTCTCTGTTTTTTACTAACTGTAATCTGTTTCCCTGTGTTTTTTTATTGTAATGTAATTGAAAATTTGTAAATATACAAAAAAACGGGGTGAGTTCAGAATTATCTTTTATTACATTAATAATTTGTAATCACAAAATATCTAACCAAGAATGCCACCAAGATTAGCTCTAATTGCATAAAGGTCCCAAGTAGCCATTGTAGATGAAATGGTTGACGGGACACAGTTGGACATTTCCTGGCACCGTTTTGAACAAACCACAAATTGCCGCAATAATGGTGATATAATCATGTAATCCAAACACAAATACACTCACAAGTCAAAGGTGCCAGTGGAGGATAAGTGAAGCGCTGCAGAAAGTCAATTAATCTTTGCAGCAGTCCCCTTCCCTCCACCCCACATAAAAGCTTCATTTACCTCCTATGGAGAAGAGATAGAAACACCATTAGTGAGATGATGGCAGGACTAGAGAGGGGAAAGGAGAATCTCACAGTTGGATGAGCTGAAACAGTATAGGCCCCCGTCTCCTCAAAAAGTGTGTGTGCGCGAAAAGGCGAGAGCATCTTCTGCATGGGTGAGCTCAATTAGGTCCTATCTTGATTATCAAAGGTAGTGGCGTACAACTTTTAAAGCGGAAGTCTGCTTCAAAGGCTGGAGATGGCATAGAGAGGGCTGACCTGCAGAGTCAAGCAGGAGTTGGACAGATAACAGTGGAGATATGGCTGAGGGGTTTCCTGCTGCAATGAGGTGCTATGTACATTAGGGGATAGGACCCACACCATTATTTCCATCTAAGCCGATGTCTGCGTGCATCTGTGTGTGTGTGTGTGTGTGTGTGTGTGTGTGTGTGTGTGTGTCACATGGGACCCCAGCTGGATAAATGATATTCATGTGTGTTTACATGCACACGTTTGGGTGTGTGAAATGCCAGTGAGCATATAGGCTCTGCTTCACTGAGCTCTGCTGGA